TTTATGCGAAAAAAAAAAAAAAAGGGAAGAAGAAGAAGAAGAAGAAGAAGAAGAAGGATGAGAAGAAAAGCCCTCCCCAGCTATCTTCTACATTGACGACGTTACGCCGACGTACTACTTATCAGATTACCAGGAAAAAAAAATAGAAAAAACCCTCCGCAGATCACAACTTCAGAACTGCAATTATTGCCGATCTACTTCGGCTGTTGTAATTTGATTCTATTATTTTGTTCATTTATTTATTTATTTATTTATTTTTGGAGGAGCGACCCGCCGGGTAATTTTTATTTCGATGTTGATTGAACATACAGTAATTCCGAGGCAGCTCCTCTTCAGTGCTCAAAGTACGGTCATTATATCTGCATTTGCGACATCTTTCAGTCTAGATACAGCTATAATGACCGTACGTTGTATTCGGGGGAAGAAGGTAGTATAAGTGGGTCATTCCCCAGATAAACGGTAAAATACCCCCGATTTTCCAGTTTAGGAATACTATTTACTTCAGTTCAGAGTCACAGAGTCCGTACTGCCATCTTCACCCTGCATTTGGTGCGACTTTCAGTCTAGATGCAGCGATAATTACCGGGCGTTCTATTCGGGTAAACACTGTACGTGGCATAATACTGTATGATCTCATATTGCGTGGCTACTCTGGATCCAGAACTGATCCAAAATACTAATTTTTAATTTTGAAAAACTGGCCCCAGACACTCATAAGTCCAAATTCAGAACTATTATTATTATTATTATTATTATTATATTATTATCAGCGCTTTCTTTGTAGCGATACTGCATGGCCAGACTGCATTGCCCGACGTGCCCATTGTCTTTTTTTGTTTTTTTCCTAAAACGGTAACGACGGTCTTGAGATCTCACCGCCCCCAGGTAATTCAGAATAATTGCCTTGTTCTCTTCATCGATTACATTTGGATTTGAACTCGGGTCTATATTTTCACATTTCAAGCGTGTACCAACTGAGCTAGTAGGCCCGTTGGTATGTGCTCGTTAGTTTGTCCTATTTATTTATTCGCCCCCCTCCCCCCCCTCTCTCTTTCCCCCCCATGTGTTGCCAAATTCTTTTTTTTTTTTTTTTCCGGCTTTTGCCAAGTTGACGTTAACATTCCATCCCTTTTTTTTTGTTTTTTTTGACGGACTGGCAGGACAAGGTGAACCTCTGAGCTGGACTACTGACTCCAGCTCTCTATCTCACACCTGAAAAAGGAGATCAGCCATGGCTGTGGCTGCAGGAGCATCTGGCATCGGGCAAATCCAACGGCAAGCATTGGGACTGGGACTGAAGTGGACAGAGGCAGTCGATGACGGAAAGGGAAATCTGCGGTCCAGACATCATCAGACTGATCTTCAGATCCCGTCGTGTAGCGGGTCTTGTGCCTGGGAAGCCCGCACGGTCAGCCATTATAGCTTTGTCCGTTTGACAGGCCCTGGGGGGGTGCAAGAGCACAAGCCACCATCGCTATCATGTCCAGCGTCCTCGTTCCGACTGCGCAGATGGCCATCATCATCATCGTTGAAACGAGGGACCAGAAGGGTGGCTGCTGTGACGTCAACAATAATTGCGCCTGTCTGGAGGAGAGGAGGGAAGCAGGTTGGCAGGATAGCACCTTGCAGGGCAGCTTCCATGAGTGGATCTTCGTCGGCACAGGAGGACCAGGCGAAGGAGGAGCAGCAGGGAATGGGAGTGGTGGATGGGAGGAACTTCTCCTCTCCGTTATCAGATTACAATGAGGAGGGGAAGGAGGAGGACCAGGGAATGGAACCGGCAGATGGGACCAATTTGTCAGCTGTGGGACAAGCTTCAATAGCTAGTCCTGCATCGTCTCCTCCTCCTCCTCCTCCTCCTGCTGCTGCAATCATTTCCCCTGTTCTCTCTATCCCCAGTGACACTGAATCTGACACCAAGTCTGACACTGAATCTGACAGTGATTCTGACAAGTCTTTTGTGGCTGCTGCTGCTGCTGCTCTAGATGATGTTTCTGCTTTTATGGATAATGTTGCTGATGTTGATGTGGATAATGTTTCTGCTTTTATGGATAATGTTGCTGCCGTTTTGGATAATGTTGCTGTTGCTGATGTGGATAATATTGCTGCTGTTGTAGATAATGTTGCTGCTTTTATGAATAATGTTGCTGCTGTTGTGGATAACGATGCTCCTGGTCTGGATAATGATATGGATTCGTCATCGTCTGTAGTAAGGGAACCGACGAATGGATCTTATGTACAATTGGCAGTTGATCTTGTGGGTAAATCTGATGATGACTCTGTCGAGAGGATTGCTGCCATGCGGGAGTCCTCTACCGCAGAGGAAGCTGATGTGTCACAACCGGTGCGTACCTCTGTCGATGCAATGACAGCCGCTCACTCTGACACTGACACTGACACTGACACTGACAGAGCAAGTACGGCAGCTGCATCTGTGGGGAAGAGATCGAGTGACTTCCAACAACCCACTGCAGCAGCTTCAGGGAGGAATGAAAGGGATGCGAGTTCTTCGTCCGGAGCTTCTGCGGGCAGACGTGCAAAGAGGCGGAGAAACATTTCTGACTACATGAGGATAGTATCAGACTACTTGAAATATGAGAAAGGACCGCCTCGATGGCTTGCTCCTATCGATGCGGAACCGCAGAGGGCCGATGCACCCTTGATGCTCTTCCTTCCCGGTAGGCAGGCGCTTCTCGCCTATCTTGCCCCCACCCCTGCTTTGTGTTTCTGGCCCCTTATCAAAACGAAATACCAATCATTTGCATGATCAATATGAAAAACAGACAGCAGAAAAGGAAAGAATGAACATAGAAACAAGTGCGAACTGGGGGGGGGGGGG